ACCTGCCTCTGGCAGGAACAGTGAGGATCCCTTCTATGTCTCCTTCACAGCCCTTCCACCTTCTTGTTTGGGGACAGTGTTGGTCTTTTAGAAACAGCAGACTATCATCCCGCATGGGCTACCACAGCACTAGCCCTAATATTAAACTCCCACACCGGTGAGTCACAGGGTTTCCTCTAAGGCTGACCTGCCGTTTCTCAGTCACCAGTCACGAAGCATCAGAAGCCTTCAGAGACTCTGAGTGTGTGTGGGTGCTTTACTGCAAAAATCTGTCAAAGTGGGGAAGTTTCAGGAAAACTAATTAAGTCACTGACAGCATGATTCAGTGAAAGGAGGAGTCATGGCAGGCCTTAGCATATCCATGGTGAGTCATTGCCTTAAGCGAGAGTATGAATATGAATGCACAATTACTGAGAGCTACTCATTAGCCTCAGCTCACTCCCTGAAGGTAAAAACGGAAACATCTTATGCAGTAGACTCACACCCAGGTCCCTCCTGAAGCCTGTGGGAAGAATATTGTCTTAATTTGCTTACTGAACAATTAAGGACTTCCCTACATAGAATTTGAAGGTTTACATTGCATATATTAGTATAGTCCAATTTTGAAAGGGTTGAAGATAGAAAAATGAGTACTGTCTGTGAAAAAGTCATACTGTAAGTATTCTGTTGCATGGCAAGTGTGTAATCTTTATTTAAGAAAATGGTCTGTGCATTTAGTAAAGATGCATCTCATTTATGTATGAAACATAACATTTAGGGAGTGGTTTGAGAATTAGGTTTTGTTAAACTAAACTGCCTTTGAAATTCACAGAGAATGTTTGCTTTCTAATGGGACCCTGAACTGCATCACTCTACCAAACCATCCAGCCAGCCTTGTGAAATACAAAAAAAGAACTTCCTAAATTTTTGGATTTTTATTTCAGATCTTACTAGTTTTATTAAAGATAATCCTTCAGAGTTTCACCCTTCAGAATCCCAGAATTCTGGAAACTACTGAAATGACTCAAACTAGAAAAATCCCTGGTTTTAAATGATGATGAATATTACTCTTACCACCAAAGACCAGGTCTTCCAAGTTAGAAACAAAAGAAAATAAAACAAAAACAATAATAAAAGCCAAACAAAATTCACGAGAAAGAGGAAAATAAATTATCTGATTAATTGAGACATACATTTCCAAGATAATACATTCTGTTCCCATTCTCTAGCTTCATACCAAAACAATAGGACTTTTCTTTAGGAAAGTCATGGATAGACCAAGGTCAATAGGCCAGTCATTATCATCATGTAATTAAGCACTTGTGGGGAGCTGGCTTCACATATTTAGACAATCGGTTTATAGCAGTCGAGGACAGTGATTCTCAATCCTGGCTGGACATTAAAATCCCCTGGGAATCTTTTGACTTGTGAGTGCCTGACCCCATTCCAGAATCAGAACTACAGGGATGGAGTCTGGGCATCGGCATCTGGGATGTTGTTAAGGTTCCCCAGGTGACGCTAATGTGCAGTCAAAGCAGAAAACCACTGATTTAGGAAATCTCCACTTGAAAACCGGGTTTAAGTAGCATAGCAACAATGTCACACCCTCTGGGACAATATTTCTCAAAAAAGTGGATTGTGAACTATCTAGGCTGCATGTTACAAATACAGATTGCTGGGGTCCCTCCCTCATCCCTTCTAGGAATGTGTACTTTGAACAAGCTCTTAGGCCATTCTTTTGTACTATAAACACTGGGGACTACTTCCTTTATGGAATTCAATTTTGAGGTATAACTGAACATTTAGAAGGTGCTGGTAATATCACATGAATCTTGCCCACCTTCAAATGAGCAAGTTATTAAGCTGATTATGTGAATTGTTGTGAGGTGAGTGACATTGTTGATTCTTGCCTTCCATGATCCTCTGTAGTGAGTGGTCTCTCCTCTTTCTGTAAACCCCCATTTCTCCAGATATTTCCTGACCCTCCTGTCCATTAGAACGTATTTACACTGTATCCTTTTCTATCACTAGTCAACTGATTGAATGAGTTAATTTAGACTAGAAAAAAAATATCTTCTTCTTTCCTCAGAACTAGGTTTTAGCAGTTGTCTTCGGTGACTTAACTCAAAACCAGAAATGAATACACTGATATAGGGCAGTGTAGGAAGGTGGTGGGGAGCCCCATCTGACACTCTCAAGGCATGCCATGTGGATGGCAACTTCCCCAACTACACATTGTCACGACTCTTCTGATGAGCAGTTCCACACCTCTGGGAAGTTTCTCAGTTCTTTGTTTTTATTCTCCACAGATATACATTTACTTCAAAAACACAATCTTCTGCAGGAGGGTCACATCATTGCCAGACGTTGGATGAACAGATGTATTAGGACAGTGAAGACATTTTTAAAGTTAACTTGCAGATGGGGTAATACAAAATGTTCTTTGGTTAGATAAAAAGAAATTCTTCAGTACATAACTTTCTAAATGACTTCTGGAGGATTACTCAGGGTCCATACAGACTCAGTATTTACATGGACTAAATAAAGTCGATATTTTTGTTCATTGATTTTAGCATTTAACCTGGATTTTAAAATATAATTTTCCAGTAGAACTGGGTCTCTATCATGTTGTATGTTTAACTACATGTGATTAGCTAACATATGCAAATCTGATATAAAAAAAACCAAATTAAGTAATTTCATTTGGGCGAGATGAGTATGGAGGAGGAATGTGATACAGAGCTGATAGTAACAATTACAAAAAAGCACAATCTGAGGGTCTTAACTGGCTTCTTCTCTGAAATGTGGGTCCCTTGGTTCCTGGACATCCTTGGTTCCTGGTGAAACATCTGACCAGAGACAGACACGTTCTTGGAGTTTGCCATTCCTTAGAAAACTGAGATGAGACTTCTACTGATCATGTGACCAGTATTTAACCCAATGACAAAACACAATACCAAAGAAGCTGTAATCACTGGTTTGCATTCCATATCTATGAGTCATTTAGTTTTGTCTAATTAGGGGTCAAGTATTTCATGCTGATTTCATTTAGCTGTCTCACAAAGGTACATTTATATTCATAATGGAGATTAGATAATTGATAACTTTGATAATTTGACACTTTTAAATAAAGGTAATGAGGTAAAAACAAGAGAGCAGCCACATAGGTTATGGCTGTTTCTAGCAATATTTTGTTTCCAATGGTAGCATAAATAGGTATTTTGTTCCTTCATGATGTAAACCACAATTCTTATATAAACTCTTGGAAACTGATGCATTTGAAAATAATTTTGTTTTTCAGATTTTGAAAAGCTAATGCAATGTATATACTATATTTTGTAACATTCCTAGCATGATCTGATTAGCCCTCTTGTAATAATGCAATATTTATGCAGCAAAACATATAAGTATTCACATTAAGTGGGATAAATAAATACTGTAAATAGTCACATGTCTGTTTAGATTGGGTTTGTTGCCAAATGAGTTGTGCCAAAGCAAGAAAAACAGAAAAACAAAAAAACAAATAACTTGTTTTAAAGAGGTTTTTAGATTTGGAATTGCAAATCTGAAGAAAATATTTTGTTTTTATGAGAATTTTAGATTTGGAATTGCAAACAGAGATTATGGATTTATATCTGTGTATTTCTCCAAACCACATTTTGGAGAATATCTATTTACATTTTCAGTTCTTACTAACTTCATTGGGTAATTTGTCCTATACGTTATTGGCCTAAAACATATTCTTTTCATGCTTAAAATGTTGCTTCTAGTCATTATATTCATTGATTTGGTCATCATCTTTCTGGTGACTTAGTGATTTTATTCTTTCATGTTATGATAAACTTTTCACAGCTCAGTTTCCTCTTTTAGAAAATTTCTCTTAAAAAAAAAAAAAAGAAAAAAAAGAAAATTTCTCTTGGCATTGTGCCTGGCACTTAGTGCTTGCATCAATCAGTAAGATTCTTTCGACTGTAAGCAAGAGGAGCTGATTCTAACTTAAGCAACATTTACTGGGAGTATATGGAATTAAAAGAATCCTTGAAGAACCATGCTTGGAAATAGCAGAAAGGAAAGAAAAACTTTGAGATTGAAGTTAGGGATATTTTATCCGGACTTCTCACCTCCACCTTTTAAAATTCTGAGTCACTCTGCTGAAGATCAAGCCCCAGGCAAATCTGAGGGGCTGAGCGTGGCTCATGTGCCCACCACTTGGCTAGGAGACAGCCTGACACATTGATTGACACTCCCACAAGCCTGAGCAAAGGGTAGGGAAACCATTCCCCGTTCCCCCCCACCCCCCCGCAGGAAATGGGATTGCAATTACAAGAAGCATGCAAATGGACTCTGATGGCAAAACAAAACAAACCTAGCAGAAGTCCTCTGCAAATTTCAAAATATGTTCAGATTGTTATTCTTAATTCTTGACTTTTTAGGGATATGCAAAGTCCTATTTTTCAGGCCATCCTACAGAACTTACTTTATCTCCATGGGCAGGTGAATTGTATTCCTCTAGACTTTTCTCAACACACAGTATCTTTCTTGAGCACAGAGCCTAGAGATATTTACTATTTGATTTTATTTTGCTTTGGTACCGTTAATGAGCTATTTTAAAAGTAATCTTTTAACAGGGAGTATCTCCTACTAAGGCAACACTAACAGAGGGTATCTTAATGGTGAAAAACACTTTATTGATTAGAAATGCAAATAATTCACCTAGAATCTACATAGGAAAAACAACATCTATCACATGGATCAAGAACAAAGACGATTTAAAAAAGGCAAATAGGCCGGGCTTGGTGACTCAGCGTGTAATCCCACGCTTTGGGAAGCCGAGGTGAGTGGATTGCCTGAGTCCGCGGGTTCGAGACCCATCTGGGCAACTTGGCGAAACCGCATCTTATTACTCTCCTTAAACCCCACATTTCTTTTAAGTGGTTTTTCAAATTGCAAGACATTTTTACAGGCAGGCACTGATGAGTACACACAATCAATTTGAATTGTTGATAATAACAATTTCTTACCTGATACTCATACTCTGTGAAAGGCAATAGTTCAGAATCCATAAAAGAACTGGAACTTCCATTATAAATTAACACTGGATTGGATTTTCCGTGCTGAGTTGCTATTTGTCTTCTGTACAATTCATAATACAAAACTTTTCCATTTGGCTCAAGTGGTCCTGTCCACAGAAGGGAGACAGAGGGTTGAAATCTCCCTAGAGCCATCTGTACCTCTAGATGAGGAGGAGGTTGCATCCGAGGTGCAATCTCAGGGGTCTGTATGGATGTCCAGTCACTTGATGCACATCCCAGGATGGTGCAGGCTTGAAGTCGTGTTTCATACCTTCAAGACACAAGGAGGAAATTACTGATTATCAGCAAAATAGACTTCCTTGGGAATAATTTTTAAAACACAGTGTTTTCAGGAAAAAAGACAACTAAGTTGGTGTTTATTCTTATCTATAGCTAACTCTTAGAGAATAAAAAGTCATATTTTCACAAAATCTTAGAATAATTTAAATCCTCCTGGTTTTCTAAACTGAAGATCCTCATCTGTTTGGAAGGGATGAGCACAAGTCTTTTCCTAAGCAGGAATGTTTGGAACAAATAAACGCTCAAGATCTTTCCAGCTTGAAAATCCCGGTACTCTGCAGAATTACTTAACATACCGATGAAGAATGCAGAACTCGGGAGGTGGGAACCAGTTTTCAGCAGACCTGAACTCCTCCTACCTTTGCAGCTTGGGCTACACTATTCCCTAGGAATGTTTCCAGGTCATGAAGGAACATCATGGAGTTATGGTCTCTGTGGTAATAAATCCCCTAACCTGGTACCTGACATCTTAAAACAGGCTCTCTTACACCACATAAAGACCTTTTGGGGCAGAGTTAACTCAACTGCACACTAGATTATCAATCATGAAGACACCTTATCACCATCCAGTTAAACTCAATCCATCAATTATGTTTTGCCTCATAGCTGTTCTCTGACACTTGGAAAGGTCTATTTACATAGCGGGGACTTTCCCCCTTCCAACAAAAGGGATTTTTGTTAGTATTAAGTGCCTATGGCTGCAATGAGCACTTTTTTTCTCCGTCCCCACACACCACTGATTTTATGTCACCCCTAATTTTCCCTGAGGTACCAGCTACCTTTCTTTCTCCCTTCTTTCCTTTTGATTCCACCCTTTTCCTCTTCCATTTTCTACCTTCTCTCTTTGCTCCTCTAATCACTGGTTTGGTTCTCTCATTTGCTTTCTTTCTCTTCCATGGTATCATTTTCTTAATTATACTTCTTTCTTCCATCACGACTTCTTTCATTTCCTTCCTTTTTCTTTCCTCTTCCCCTTTGTCTTCTCTCCTGCCCATCTCTACTATGATCAGGACTACCAGTTTATTGGTGATCAAATCCATAGCTGTGTATGGCAGATCTGACTTCAAAGCAATTCTGTGAAGTCTATTTTGATTTTCCATATAGGATTTATTAATTTTCTGAATTATCTGTGGTGGTTTTGAAATTCTGGGTCAGGTTCTTTCTGCTACTCAGGGCAATCCCAGGCTACTTCTTTCTACACAGCAGCTGGGGTTGCTCAAAAGAGGATACATTAATTCACAATATTTGGCGAACAATGATCCACTAAAAACAAAACTAAAAAAAGAACAAGAATTTCAATTTCATAAAGTGATATTCTGCTTTATGCCAATGTCACTTGGAACTTCAATTAGAATAGGTAATGAAAGGACCTCTCTCACATCCTTAAGTATCATTGCTAATTTTATCAGATATATCAAACTTTTTTTTCTAATCTGAAAAAAATGTTCCTCTGACATCTGGACAAATTTTTCCTCTCTAGAAATTTTTTTGAATAAGAATATCAAATGGGAGCAAATTGAAATGATTTTTGAAACTTGCAGGTAGAGTCAGGTAAAGAGAAAACCAGTAAAAAGTGTACAGCTCTGAAGTTACAGTGGGTTGTTTTTATGTCCTGAACAAAAGTAAGAAAAAAACCAGCTCACATAGCATGTGGATTAGCTATGGGAGGATACCTGAATAAGTTTTAGTTACTGCTTAATATTTAATACAACCCTAAATAATTGTCATGAGTAGATGCATAAGACCATGAATGTTTCATTTAAACAGTACTATATATCAGAGATAATTATTGGAGGGATCTAATCTACACATCAGTAGATTACAATAATGGCTGAATTTTACCTATGGTGGTTAGAAATCAACACTCTTTCAGTCTTTAATTTTTTAAAAACGATTCTGTTCATTTTACTAAATTTTAAGCATAAAATGTCTTTTATTACTCTTCTCTCTGGGGATGTAAGTTACTTAAAATGTGATGGGGAAAGATGCCAAGCAATTATTTAAGCTATGGGCAGGATTCCTTTGTGTGGAGACAAACACACTCATGAATGTAACAGAGCCCAAATGGAATCGCTGGGAATATACGAGCTAGAAAAGTGGCACTGTCCCGAAAAATCATGAGATCAGAGTTGGGGGAGTCCTGAAGAGAATTAGGAAATAGAGAAGCCTTAGTATCTCTGATAGAAGTGCTGGATTTGATAAGAAAGTTTCTCACCAAAACGAATTTTGGTTTAAGGCAACTCTGGCTGAAGATAGCTCAACGATTGGCACTTTTTTTGTACTTTAAAATAATACCTCATTTCCTTCACAGTCTGGATCAGATGACCCTATCAGTGCTCTCAGAACTGTGTGGAGGCATGTGTATTTGACTGACTTGATTTAGAGAACTGACCAATCTGTGCATTACTTGTTCCAGACATCATGTTGAATTGCAAACCTTTCTGAAAAACTGACCCTCAGCACATCACCTACAAAAATTCTGCTCTTATGCAAACAGGCTTTGGTTGGATGAGGATGTGCTTTGTCCACTACGGATGGTTAAGCAGATGGAGATTGGGAATGTTAAACATCTTGCTTTTGGTCTTCATTAGAACTGACCAAGGGCTCATGCAGTAGAAGGGCCAGTGGATTGCTTTCAGAAAACCAAAATGTGGCTACTTACCTGTGAAATGGCTTCAGCTGGTTTACTATGAATGACTGTGTATCAAAAGAATTATGAGTTGTGTTTATATGTATGATTTTTGTTTCTTTTTCAAACATTTCACGGATGAAGAGGGTATAGTTGATGATAACACCATTTGTCCTTACTGGAGGGTCCCAATTCACTAAGATCTCCTGAGGGCCTTTGGCCTGCAATTTTGGAGGTTCCATCCCTGAGGGTGCTGAGGGGCTGGTTCGATCTTTGACAAGCGGACTCAAAATACCCCCTTGGCCATTGTTGGCCATTACTGTGTAGCCGTACTCCACACCTGGGGTGAGAGTAAAATCATGATAGCGAGTTTCCAGCCCAGTATATACAATGGTTCCATCCCTCCTAAGTTCATAACTTCTGATCCGACCATTTGGGTTTCTTGGTGGTTTCCAGGTGACTTCTATTGATTCTGAGCCTGTGACTTGCAATGTTGGGGAGTCCATGTTCTCGGGTGGGGCCTCCAGTGTCCAGGCAGATTTTGACACACTCGCAGTGCAACCGCCATTCGTGCAGGCTACGAGGGAGAAGTTGTACTGTGTGTAAGGCTGTAGGTGGGAAACCAGCAGGGACAGGCCTTGCCCAGTAAGGTACTCTTTGCCATTATATCTAAGTAAGTATTTGGTGATTTTTCCATTTTGAATTGATGGTGGTGACCAAGACACATTTACTTGAGTGGCACTGATGGCCCAAAGATCTGGAGGGCTCACTCCTATTGGAGCAGCCTCCAGAGTTGTGATACTGGTGGGTTTGCTGGTGGAGCAGCCTCCACTCGTGCAGGCTAGGACTGCATAGCTATAGGTGGAAAAAGGAAGCAGCTCTTCATCGGTGTAATTGAAAGTCACAGCATCAAAGCCAAAAGGATAGAGCACTCCATTCCTTTGAAGCCTATAGGTCTGGATAATACCATTAGGTTGTTCTGGTGGGATCCAGGAAATCAGAAGTTTTGGAGGATTTATTGATACATAAGATACCTCAGGTGGAGAGAGATCTTCTGGAGGCGCCTGCAACGTCCTTACAACATTCCAAGAGCTGCAGGTATGCCCGGCTGAATTCCAAGTGTTGATTTTATATTCACACTGCATCCATGGCTGCAAACCTGTGTCATTATACATAAATGTATTCCTTTCAGTATTATATTCTGTGAAAACAATTTTCTCATCGACCCGGATTGTCTGATTCCCCCAAGCTTTCCCCTGGAAGCATCTGCGAATCACTTCATAGCGAATTATTTTTCCATTTGGGTTAACAGGCTCAGACCAGTTCAGCTCAACGCTGGTGGACTCCACAGACTGGATTGTAGGAGCCAACTGAGAGTCCGGAGGGGCTTCATCTGTCCACAGAAGCTGGGGCACTGAGTGAGCACAGCCAGCCCTAGTGCAGGCCTCCAGGGTCAGTGTGTAGAGAGTGAAAGGATCCAGGCGGCGGAAGAGAAACTGACGATTCAAACCAGTGTATTCCAGGATACCATCACTGAAGATGTTGTATGTCTGTAGAAGAAAGAGAAGCAACGGGGGTAACTTGTGGCATATGGTTTCTTGGTAGAGCTATTTAGCCTCTTTTAGGCCTTTACCACCTTTACCACCCCCCCCATTCCTTATCTTGATGACCCTAACCCAGAGGAAGCATTCTGATATGAATTTGGGGAATGTCATCTTTTTCAGTTAATTTAAGTTCACAAAAAAGGAAACAATGTTTTTCTTTGCCTCCCCTCTCCCCCAGTGTGGGTAATATGTAAGCATCTATCTAAAAGCTAGGGGCTATTGAAACTGATTCTTTGACTTAAATAGTGCTCATGGAGTTTCTCCTATTTTCTGTATTTTGTAGATACTAAGTGTTTCTGATAACCTGACTAAAGTAAGGAGGCCCTATCAACATAGTCTATTGTCTGTGGCATTTGCTGGGAAATGAAATTATAATGCTTAATCATTTTTACAGGGTGCAAGAGTTAAAAGTGTGTGTGTGTGTGTGTGTGTGTGTGTGTGTGTGTGTGTGTGTGTGTGTGTGTGTGTGTATAGGCACACAGACACCTAAATGTATACAAAAGTACAAATATATGTACATAAATATATATTTATGCATATATTTATATTTTTGTACATGTACACACTCATATAGTTATACATATAAACTTTGATGACTAGGAGATGGGAAAAAAACACCGCATTTTCTCTTGTAGACCATGAAAGAATTGATTGCTCCTTTGAGGGAAAAATATTCTTTTGTCCTGGGCAACACCATCTGGGCTTTCAATATACTATACAAATGTAGAGCAATTTTTCATTCCTGTATTATTTCAGTGTTTTTTTTTGAAAGATAGGAAGTAACAATTTGAATGTAGACAGTTTTGCACAGTCGTTCCCCACCCTTTTCCTGCTTTGACACACCTGAGAGATATGACACACTCCTGTGGATGACTCCCTGTGACAGTGACTCTCAAGAGGGACAGGACACATATCAGAATCCCTTGGGAGGCACATCTAGTTTGAAACATTCCTAGGAAAGTTTAATTTGGACTGGACTGTTAATATACTTTAGTGTTGTTGCTGTTTTTAAGATTGTATGCTAGACTTTTGGGAATCTATTTATGTTGGACTTGTATTTTGGTGTGATTTTCTTGGCATCTCAGGGCAAGACCACAGACCTGGAAGGATAGTGGTTTATCATCTGAAGGGAGCCTGTATTCCATAACCAGCTTGCAGTCTCAATGACTCCCCAGACCCCTTGATCCCTCTGATATTCATTATGGCAAATATATAGTGTTAAATTCAACTCTCCTTCTATACACAAGCTCTTAAATGGGCTTAGAGAAAAACATTCCAACATACTGACTGATCTCACTTTTAATTTCTTACCATAAACTTTAAATAAGTGATTACCAATTTGTAATCCTATTCTATTCCCTGACATATTTACTCTCTCATCTTCCAAAGTGATTATTTCATATCTTCTCCTTTCCCTAGGAATATCCAACACCCTCTATCCTCTTCATGGTTGATTGTTGATGTAACCATATATTTCATTGAGAAAACAGAAGCATTTAGAGAAGAATTTTCTCAAGTTATGTATTAGCACCATATCCCTGTAAGTCCAGACTTACACCATGTGACTTCTCTCCCATTGTTGTGGATGAAGTATCTTTGACCCCATTACAGGCCACCTGTGCTCTGAATCCCATCCGTACCTCCTCCTTAATGACTTCACTCCTGCAATTATTCTCATTTATCTCTTGTGTCACCATTTTATCTCCTTCTACCAGTTATTTCCATTAGTGTTTAAATGTACTCTAGTATCTTTCAATGATTTTTAATTAAATTTAGTCCTATAGTCCCCCATCTACTGCTCCATTTCTCTGCTTTTCTTTTCATCTAAACCTCTTTAAGGAGTTACTGTCCTTGTTTTCTTACTGGCTACTCTCTCCTCACCCAGCCATCCATTCAGTTTTCCCTTTCCTCTGCTTGGTCTCCTTTTCAAAATTACAATGACCTCCTCATTTCTGCACCCAGGGTTGCTTCTCTGCCCTCATTCTACTTCATCTCTCAGCAGCATTTGGCATATTTTCCCTTCACTTTTGGGACATCCTACTCACTTGCTTTTCCTTCTAACATAGTTCCCTCCTATCTCCTTTGCTGTCTCCCCTTCTTCCTCTTGACCCTTGGGGCTTCATCCCAACTCTTAGCATGTGTAGTTACATTCTTTCCATAGCATATCTCCTCCAGCACCATGGGTTTAAATACCATTTTTCTGCTAACAGATTCCAAATATTGATCTCAGTGAAGAACTCTCGGAAATTCTAGACTTGTGTCTCCAACCGTCTACTTGCTCTCTCAAATCTGTTCATCTTCCAGCCTTCTCTTTCTAGTCAATGGCTCTAGAGCAAACCCAAAAGTCATACTGAAGAACTCCTTTTCCTTCATGTCTCACATCCAGTTCATGAACAAATTTTGTCATATCTATCTTCTCATTATGTATATCTTCAGCTTACCCATATTTTATGACTTCACCACTTCTCTAATTTGAGCTGCCATCAGTTTTACCTCAAATTCTCCAATATTTTTCAAACTCTGCTGGTCTTCTTATAGTCTATCTTCCACACAGCAGCCAGAGTGATTTTTGAAAACATAAATTTGATTATGCTATTCCTTTACTTAAAGCCTTCAGTAATTTTTCTCTGTACTTGGAACAAATTCCAAACTCTTGATTACAGTCCCCAAGGTTGGGAACAATCTGTGCCCTACTAATATTTTCAATTTCTTTTAGTGACATCTTTCTCTCCCCCTGAATGCTTCATTCACACTAACTTTCTTCTCTTTCCTTGAATATACCAAGTTCATTACTGTCTTCAGGCCTTGCACTTGCTGTTCACTTTGTCTAAAACATTTTGCCCCCATATCTTTACATGACTAACTCTGTCTTGTCATTCAAGACTCAGCTCAAATGTCAACTCAATTCAAATGATTATCTATTCGAAAATAGCCTGAGCCGGCGTAATTACATTATTCTATTTAATTTTCTTTATAGCATTCATTGCTCTCTGAAATTCCCTTGCTTATTTATTTACTAGCTTATTTTTTGCCTCTCTGTTATGCCCCCCCCACCATTTATGTACTCCTACACACGTATTCATCCGCATATACACACATGTAAGGTCTGCAACAGCAGGGACCTTGCCTGTTTTGTTCATTCTTGAATAAGTGCATGGTACTCAGTAGAAGCTTAATAAATATTTGGTAAAGAGTAAATGAAAGTACAAGGAGTCAATATTCCTCTTGTCAATCATGCTATGAAGAAGCAGATGCTGGGACAGGAAACTAACACGAGGAGTGCTTTGATGGATGCGAGGAGAGAAGTTCTCTTCTCTGAAGGGGGCTTGCGGACTGCGATTTGGATTTTAAGGTCATGGATCCTAAGGCTCAAGCCTCTTGCTGCAGGATGGTGGACGCCTGACTTCTGTCCACATGTAGGCAGGCTGGTGGGAAGTGGCTTGCTACTGCTACTTGCAGCAGGCCTGGAGCCAGGCAGAGAGGTAGCCCACCGAGAGGCCCACAGGATGGACCTGGACCTGTGAGCTCTAGTTACAGTTCTCAGTTATTGCTGTACATAGCTTCCTGCTGTCATTCCTTTCTTAGGGTTTTCAGGGGAGCGTTATTAAAAGGAACAGCTTAGTCTTAACTGCTCTATGTGGAATTCAATGTGGGAGTCTTTGCCACCTAGAGAAGGAGTGGTAAAGGAGAGGGCAAAGTGTCTATAACAGTTGTGAATTCTGTAGTTCCAGCCTGTGGAAGGTAGCTGGTGAGGCCCTTAAGGGGTGGACCAGGGCCACGAAGGACTGGAGGTAGCGGTAGTGAGTAGCATAGGCTGACAGGTGTGTTGCTACCACCCTTGGGGAGGAACATTAGAGAAGAAGATGAAGTCTGGTTTTTGTTGAGTGAGAGTTCAAAGCATCAAAATGCAGGCTATTAATAGAAATGCAACCTCCTCTGTACTCACAGGCTGATGATACTTGGGATATGTGTGTGACATTCATAAGACTGTTTCTCTTGGCTTCATACAGAAGTCAGGGAGTTAGTAGACATGTGACTTACTTGGTGAGCTCAGTTCAAAGTGCAAATTAGGTAAAGTTTAGGCAAATAACTGGGTTGGATAATTCAGGAGGCGGTCTGAACACAATCACTTAGAGTTCAGTTTTGGTGTGAGTTTCTGGCTTCAAATGCCAACTCTATCATTTACAATGTGGGCTGGGTAGTTATTTAGCCTTTCTATGCCTCATGAGGTTTAGTGATACCCACCTAGTAGGGATGATGTTAAGATTTAATGAGATAATCCATGAAGAACATTTAGCCCAGTGTTGGGTTCATAGGAAGTATCACACATATGAGCTGGTTTTCTCTGATCTATGAATAAGAGCCTGGAGGAACCATCAAGGAGAATTAAACAGCCTGTGAAGGGAGTTTTCCCACAGTGACCTGATGGCATGTCAGGGCTCATCTATTTATCTGGAGAACACCAAACATAATTTCATATGCAGGGTAGACATTACCTTAATCACACCATTAGTTCTCACAGGCTCTGACCACTGTAGTAGCAATGCCCGGCCATTCTCTTTCTGTTCTACTGTAAAGTTGCTCAATCCACTTGGGGAAGATTCTGAGGTTTGAATCAGAGTCCAGGGACTTGAAACTTCTCCTGCATGGTTTGCGGCCACAATGCCAATGTGATATGTTGTGTACGGTTCTAACCCAAACAGGTGGGCTTGATGGCTCATTCCCTGTAAGAAAGTTTACAGGTTACATTTATTTTAGACAATATTGTTGGAAGGTCATTCTCTGAACTCTATGGCCAAAGCACATCAGCCACAGCAGCACAAACACTATAGCAGAGTTTTGAATTATCATTAAGAAAATAATGTTACCCCACATCTTTAAAATAAAAAAAAATTTTAAATTAAAAAAATAAATAAATAAAAATGACAGCCTATTTTAAAAATAACACTAGCAGTTACTGCTTAGATGGGAAAAAAAAGAGCAATATGTTTTTTCTTGTTCTTGTTGACACTTTGAATATATTACCTAATGTATGACATTAGACACCCAGAAAGGGCATCAAATATCTTTGCCTTTTCAGAGCTTCCACCCAAAGAATGTGATATCTAAACCACCACAACAAAAAAACCAACAACAACTATGATGCCTCAGATTAGTGCTGCCTCCAGCTCATAATGAGTATCACTGACACCAAGCTGCATGTCAGAGACTGGGATAATTGTCCACCATGTCAATCTTGAAGGTTTTTTTTTTCTTTTTTTTTTGAGTTGGAGCCTCACTCTGTGTCCAGGCTGGAGTGCATTCACGTTCAACACAGCGTTGACCAACATCCAGTGATCCCTTCCGCCTCAGGCTTCCAAGTAGCTGGAATTACAGGCGCGTGAATCTTGAAGGTTTTACGATTTAACTTGAACAACCTTAAATCTCTAATCCCCCATACTGTTTACACATGACTCTATCCATCATTCCAATCTTCCTCTCTCATTCTCTTGGTGTACATTTGTATCTTACAAGTTCAATAAAAAAAGAAAACAGCAACAAGTCATTGAACTATAAATGCACAAACACTCTTAGAGAAGTCTACTGTTAGTATAAATGGAAAAGTAATTTTCATTTGTTCAAGCACTATAACTTGAACATCATAACTCATAGTTTTCTATGAAACCTACCAAAAGTAATTGTTACCTAGGATTTGAGAATTTGGTCTTTGTTGATTTAAGACAAATAAAAAGAGAGAGCAAAATAAGGAGAGCAAAATTAGCTTTTATGTTTTTTCTGTTTGGAGAGCAACATTGAACATATTTGGTGAAACTAAACTGGAGCTAAGAATTCTAATGTTTTGAAAGGCCATGGGGGGCTCTTTTCACATCTGGACTGAATGAATGTCCGTTTAAAGTGGGAGGTATGTCTGCAAGTGGGATACCAATGTGTGTATAGGCAAACACACACACACACACATACACACACACACACACACACACACACACACACACACACACAACTGGCAATTCCTGTTGTGTACTACACACATCAGAGAAAGTTTTGACTGAGATAGTAGGATACTTACGTCTGTTGATGTGTGAAATCAGCTTTGGTTTATCACATGTTTAAATGTGATAGCCTTCAATTGCCTTCTTTTTTTGGTGGGCAAACAAAGAGGAATGTGAGTTGGGGTAATGGAGGTTATTTCTGAGAGTAGGTACCGAGGAACATCAGACAAAATTATGTATAAGGAAATTATCTTTAATTTGGGGATATCTAAATATCATTTTGGATAAAATCTAAACAAAGTGACAAAATAAAACTGAATAATTTTCCAAACAAACTGGTTAGACAAAACCAAAACAGTACAGAAATAATTTTTGGTGCTGTTCTCTTGCATTCTTGGCTATAAGTTCTAACTGTGTTAATGTTTCTTATTATGTGTTAAACGAAGGCAGAGAAAATATACTTTTCTTTATGTATCAAAACTTGTAAAGTCAATTTTCCTATTTCAATAAGTCCCATTATGATATTACATGCTAACCCCTTGAAATCTTTTAATATTTAAACATCTGCTAAGCGACCAGACTCTGAAACAAATTTTACAGAAATACTAATTTCTCTTTTTTAAAATATTAAAAGTTAGGTCATAAATATTTAAAAACTTATTTCTCCACAACATTGGATTGGTCTTTTAGATAAATATAGCACAGAACTAGAATGACCATAATGAATATTAAATCTGAAGATGCTACAAGTCCCGATTACAAACATTCTTTTCTGATAAATGATTCCTTTTCTGTCGAAATAGGGCAAACATGGGAAAGATTAATAATGCAAAAAAGAATAATTCTTTGTTCAGAATATTCAGTAATAGATGCCAAAAAAGCATAAGCTCAAAAGCAAATAGTAATCACCTCTAACAGATTATATCTAAAAAAGGTAGGCTGTTGGGGGACATTTTTAAATAAGCTATTGTCATAAGAAACATGAAAAGCATGTGGGCTATAAAGCAAAAACATATGTATATTGTCAATAGCAGCACCTGCTCAATTATAGTTTATTTCAGAGCTGAGAATTCTATTCAGCCCCTAGATGGCAATACTATCAAACATTTTTGGTAACATGAGTACTTAATGATTAACAACTGGCATTCAATCATCCAACATACTCCAGGCAACCATTAAAAAAATAACAAAACTGATTTTATTATAGATTCTTTTAATAAACATTTGTGGCTCAGATCCTTGAAAGCAGAAGTAGTCAAAATGCCCTGCCCTCAAAACCTTCACCATCTAATATAGAAATATGGCCTGCTGGTCTCAAGTTGGAGTTCATGCATGCCTGGCACAGAAAACATTTAAAGGAACACTCCTCAGGGATACAGTTATTTTGCTTAATTTGGTTTATGTTTATCTTTTAAAAATAGAAGTAATCACTTATTGGGATGCAAAGGAGAATTTCTGTATTACGAAATTACACTGAGGGCAAGTTCTCATACTACATATTTGTTATTTCTGAAGAGCAACAACAACAAAAAAATCACACACACGTATACTTCTTAAATAAATCTCATTAATTGCCATACTTTTGTCAATGCTTAGCAAAAGCCATATTAGAAAAATGAAGAAAATTTTAAAAACAGCAAAGCAACTCTTACCAATTTATTCTTTGACATCTTAGGAAATAATTTATATTATTCTCTCCTATGTGAATTTCCAACACTTTGAATTCTGCAGCAAAATTTGGATGCAGTTAGTTGTGAATTGGGTTGCATTTTATTTATTCAGTTTCTTGGTGGTTTCTTTAAATTCAGAATATTTGCTTGAGCACTGTGTATCTTAAATGTTTTAGATTCGGTTCCCTCATTTGAAGATATATCATTCTTCACAATGACTAGGAAAAGTCACAATTGGAAACCATTTTTCTTCCTTTCACTCTTTTGCCTCACATTTCTTCCTTCCCTTCCTTCCTTTCCTTTCATTCTACCTACCGATGTTTTGGGGGCTGTATTTTATTTGAATTCTGGGCTACCAACTTGCTTCCCCTTTGTCTTTGTCCATTGCATATCCATGTTCTGTATCATACTCAGATTTTTTTCATGCTAAGAGCATGTTAGCTACTTTTGTGGCATCAGATGAAGAGAATGACTCAACAAAGGAAAACAGGAAGAAATATTTTACTAGGGATAATCCATTCTCTACAATCTAATATTTTCAATGAGATTTAACCTTTCTTTTTTCCTTTAACTTATATGCATGAAGGTCAGAGACTGGGTACAAATCAGTGCATCATTTTATGAGACATAAAGACAAGACTCTGGAACAGTCTGCCAGTTGAGGTTCTGCTGGCAATTTGAACTACATTTTAACCTCTCAACTCTGCTCCTGGGGACACATGAAACTACTTGGAGTCTTCAGCAGTCTGACAATTTTACACCATCTCCTCTGATTATTTTTGACGACTTGAAGTGCCCCAAAGGTGGCCATGGGGTCAATAGGTTTATGTAGGTTGAAAATGATCAAAAATTACCATTGATCTGTAGCTGTCAATAAAAGGCTGCATGGGGATACTCCTTGCACAAATGTTTAAACTGCATAAAGCTTCCTAACTTAGTCATCTTTGAGTCTATTGATCTGATGATCCAGCAGTTTCCAGAGCTTTCCCTCTGGTCTTTGTGGTGCATTTTCACTAAGCCCACTTACCTTAGCCCTTAGGAATCTTTTTACCTTGCTCCAAACCAAAACAGTAAGGTATAGGCACTGCTGTGTTCATCCACAGAGTATTATGTGTGCTTATTACACATTGGAAAGGGCTAATCTGCCTGGTCACCCTCAACTTCATTTCAAACCCACGGGATTTCTTCTGCCTTTACCTTCTATTTACTATTCTTCCTTATCCTAAAATGGATGAGGTTTGGCTTATAAATTCTGACCAGATGCCAGAGTTCCTTTGCCTCCTTAGTTATAACGAATGCCAAGATCCAGAGAGTAAGTCACATTAAAGTTTGCCACTTCATACAAAGAGAACTTCAGAAAAATTGAGATTTAAATATATTCACTTCTGTATTCTTAAGTTGAACCACTCAGATGCTTTATCATAAATTATATTTTATCTTGCCCTAATAACAAAATAAAGGAATGATAATAGACAAGACCCAGAGTTTCTGGTTTAGATTACAAATAAAACATGAGAAGGAGTTCAAATTCTCATTTACAGTTACCTAAAATCATGACTTTGGATAGACACATCCAGTTCATTTGGATGACTTGAACACATTGTAATATTGTCCAATTAACACATTTAAAAAAATATTTCTCAAAACCAGATAATTTGTGGCATGGATTCTGTAGGACCATTTTCCATTTATAAAGTTAACATTTAAGTTTCCCAAATGTGGATCAGCATGTTTTATTTTGCAAAAAATCAAATGTCTTAACACAGAAATTATATTTTTACCACTGTTAGCCAAATATTAAACTTGAGTACTTATCCATGGTTAATTATGCATGAGATTCCCAAGTCTGCAAAACATTAACATTGTTAAAAAAATTTTCACTGATTGCATATATACACTTTATCAGTGCCATTTCTGCCTACGTATCTCTAAGCTGGTGGGACAAAGAAGATATGTATGGATGGTACACACGTATATGCAGAGCAGCTCAGGAATCAAAGATCCACTCACAATACAAGAACAGTAGAACAAAACAATCTTTAGGTACACGGTCTATTGTTTTAT